ACGGCGAGTGAAGCCGCGCGAGAGCCAGGACCACAGGGTCTCCGGAATCCACGCTCTCAACCGCGACACTTAAGAGGCGTCGCTCTGCCCGGGACGAGAGCGCGTCCGTGCGAAACCAGGCACACCGTCTCATCCCACCGAGTTAAGACTCAGAACGGGTGTGTCCGAACGGTTTCGCCAAGTTCAAATGACCCCTTCGGATCTCAAAATCTACGCATCTCTTGGCAGTTTGCAGACCGATGCAGGCGCACACGCATCCGTAGTGCGACAGCAGAGGGTCGGCTTCTGGTACGCCGACCGGCCCTCCTGTGACTATGAACTATAGACCCTGGACGGGATATAAAAACCCAGCTGGATACACTGCCGAACAACCAGGAGCAGGCAGAGACCGGAGGGGCGCTGACACTTAGAAGAGGCAAGGGCTCTAGGGAAGTCTCCTACTCTTACAGCTTTGGCCCCACCCCTGGGCACCGTCCCCGGGGACTCGCACACCGAGGAAATCTGGGAGGCACAGGACAGAACCGATTCTCCGCATCATTTACCGCGTCCAAGACTGAATCTGAAGCCGTCTCATGGGTGAGGAATTGGGAGAATGAGACCCCTTCTCAAGAGAGGCCACCAAGACTGACGCTGAGATAATCCACTGTCAGGCTGAGCAAACAAGGGAGTTCCCGATCGTTAGGCGAGGACTCAGCTGTCCTAACCGTGCTCAGGGATGTGCCGGAAATCATGCGGGTAATGTGAAGGCAGGAAGTGCCAGCAGAGAGACAGAAACTTAAAAAAAAAAAAAAAAAAAAATCCATAAAATGGAAATTGTAGAACTGAAAAATATAAAAATCACAAAATCTAGTCAGTTCCTTATACGGGCTTAGCAGAATGGAAAGGAGATCATCAGAGAACCTTCTACACGGCAGAAGTTGATAGACACGTGTGCGTGGGAACAGTGTACAGAACACTCAGGCACGGAAGGGACCACACAGAGGCCTGCTGGTGCCCTTGTAGGCAAGGTCTCTGAAGGAGGGGAGAGAAAACATAGGACAGAAAAACAATCTGAAAAAACAACGGCCACAATTTTCCCAAATCTGATTAATGGTATTAAGTTTACAGATCCAGGGGTGCCTGGGTGATGCAGTCGGTTAAGCGTCCGACTTCAGCCAGGTCACGATCTCGCGGTCCGTGAGTTCAAGCCCCGCGTCAGGCTCTGGGCTGATGGCTCAGAGCCTGGAGCCTGTTTCTGATTCTGTGTCTCCCTCTCTCTCTGCCCCTCCCCCGTTCATGCTCTGTCTCTCTCTGTCCCAAAAAATAAAAAACGTTGAAAAAAAAAATTTTTTTTAAAGTTTATAGATCCAAAGGGGCGCCTGGGTGGCTCAGTCGGTTAAGCGTCTGACTTCGGCTCAGGTCATGATCTCACGGTCTGTGAGTTCAAGCCCCGCATCAGGCTCTGTGCCGACAGCTCAGAGCCTGGAGCCTGCTTTGGATTCTGGGTCTCCCTCTCTCTCTGCCCCTGCCCCTCTCACTCTATCTCTCTCAAAAATAAACAAATATTAGAAAAATTAAAAAAAAAATTTCTGCAGGCCAAAGGGAAATGATACCAGATCTCTAAGTAGGAATGAAAAGCATCAGAAATGGTAAATATGTGCATAAATATAAAAGACTTTTCCTCTTAATTTATTTTTTTTTAATTTTTTTTTATTTGACGTTTATTTATTTTTGAGACATAGAGAGACAGAGCATGAACGGGGGAGGGTCAGAGAGAGAGGAGAGACAGAATCTGAAACAGGCTCCAGGCTCCGAGCTGTCAGCACAGAGCCCGATGCGGGGCTCGAACTCACAGAGTGTGAGATCATGACCTGAGCCGAAGTCGGTCGCCCAACCGACTGAGCCACCCAGGCGCCCCTCCTCTTAATTTAAAATACATAACAAAACCATAAAAGACAGGGATGGTAAACAGACCTATACAGTTGCAAGATCTCCACATTAAAAAAAAAATTTTTTAATACTTATATTTGAGAGACAGAGACAGAGCGTGAGCAGGGGAAGGGCAGAGAGAGAGGGAGACACAGATTCCAAAGGAGGCTCCAGGCTCCGAGCTGTCGGCACAGAGCCTGACGCGGGGCTCAAACCCACGAACTGTGAGATCATGACCTGAGCCGAAGTCGGACACCCAAACTGACTGAGCCCCCCAGGCACTTCTCAAGATTTCCACATTTTATGGGAAGTGGTACATTAACTCTAGGTAGACTGAAAACCTGAGAATGTATATGGTAACTTCTAGAGCCTCCGCTAAAAAAATTATGCGAAGACCGTACAGCTAAAAAGCCAATAAGTTAAAATGCAATTCTAAAATAAAAAACTAAGCCAAACAGAAAACAAGAAAATGATAAACCGAGGGACACCCAGGGGGCTCAGTCAGTTGAGCATCAGACTTCGGCTCAGGTCATGATCTGGCAGTGCATGGGTTTGAGCTCCACCATCAGGATCCTCTGTCCCCCCCTCTCTGCCCCTCCCAGCTTGTGCTCTCTCACTCAAAGGTAAATAAACATTTTTAAAAAATAGAATAAAATGATACACCCAAATCGAACTATACCAATAATCACATCTAATGTTAATAAACACACAAAAAAGGCTCAGCCTGGGGCACCGGGCTGGTTCAGTCAGTGGACCATGCAACTTTTGATCTTGGGGTCGTGAGTTTGAACCTCATGTGGGGTATAGATATTATTTTTTAAAAATCTGTCTGGGAATGCAGGCTGGCGCAGCCACTCTGGAAGACAGGATGGAGGTTCCTCAAAAAACTAAAAAGAGAACTACCCTACGACCCAGCAATTGCACTACTAGGCATTTATCCACGGGATACAGGGGTGCTGTTTCGAAGGGACGCGTGCACCCCCATGTTTATAGCAGCACTATCGACAAGAGCCAAAGTATGGAAAGAGCCCGAATATCCACTGATGGATGAATGGATAAAGATGTGGTGTGTGTGTGTGTATATATATATATATATATACACACACACACACATACACACACAAACACACACACACACACAATGGAGTATCACTCGACAATCAAAAAGAATGAAATCTTGCCATTTGCAGCTACGTGGATGGAACTGGAAGGTATTATGCTAAGTGAAACTAGTCAGAGAAAGACAAAAATCGTATGACTTCACTCACATGAGGACTTTTGAGACAAAACAGATGAACATAAGGGAAGGGAAACAAAAATAATATAAAAACAGGGAGGGGGACAAAACAGAAGAGACTCATAAATATGGAGAACAAACCGAGGGTTACGGGAGGGGTTGGGGGGGGGGATGGGCTACATGTGTCAGGGGCACTAAGGAATCTACTCCTGAAATCACTGTTGCATGATATGCGACGAATTTGGGCGTAAATGAAAAAACAAATAAATGAAATTAAAAACTAAAAAAAAATCTGTAAGTGATAAGGACATAAATAAATAAGTGGCAGGGCCAGAACAGATAAAAGTGTGAGATCCAAGTATATGGGGTCTACAGGAATTTCCCTTCTTTTAAATAGAAAGACACAGAGAGGTAAGAAGTGAATGAACAGAAAAAGGTATGCAAACAGCATCAGAAGGCCGGAGAAGCTCTAATTCACATCAGATACAGCGGAGTTGGAAACAAAGGATGTCACCAGAGGTAAAGAGGGAAGTTTCGTAACAACAAAATGCTCAATTCATTCGTAGGATGTAACATAACCTAGTAACAGACCTTCCAGATATGGAGTAAATCGATACAATTAGAGGAACGGGACCATGGCACAACACAATAGATTAGAACACCTCTCAACACATGACACACAAAAAATCTGTAAAGACACAGAAATGTGAACGATAGTATTAATTACCTAATTGGTATTACGGAACAAATTCACCCACCGTTTCGGAAAACGTATTTTTTTTTTCAAGTGTATGTGGAACGCTCAGCAAGACAGGCCATATACTGAGTCATATCATGAGTAAGACTACAAAGATTGAAACCATAAACATATTCTCCAACCTGGATGGAATGAAAGCACAAATCAGTAAGATATTTAGGGGAAAGAAAACAAACCCCTGTGAAGTAGGCAATATACTTCCAGATAATCAACCCAAAATAAATCTAACACCAATCTAAAGCGGTGCTTAAAGAAAAGCGTGTAACTTTAAATACTTGTATCAGAGAAAGGCCTAGGGGCGCCTGGGTGGCTCAGTCAGTTGAGCATCCGACTCCTGATTTCGGCTCAGGTCGTGATCTCACGGTTCATGGGTTCAAGCCCCGTGTCAGGCTCTGCCCTGGCAACGCGGAGCCTGCTTGGGATCCTCTCTCTTTCCCTCTCTCTGCCCCTCCCCTGTGCGCACTCTCTCTCCCTTCCTTCCTCTCAAAATTAAAGAAAACTTAAATTAAAAAGTAAATAAACAAACAGGGAGGGACCACCATGAGTAATTATGTCCAAAAAACTAACAACTTGGGTCAAATGAATAAATTCCTCGAAAACACAGCTGACCCTTGAACGACGCAGGGGTTAGAGGCATCGACCCCCGGGCAGCCAAAAAGCCGTGTATAACTTTTGACGGTCCCCAAATACCCCGGCTACCCCTACCCTCCTGTGGACGGGAGGCCTGACTGAGAACATAAACGGCGGCTGAACACCTACTTTGCAGGTGGCATTCTCACAATAAAGTGAACTCGAGAGAAGAAAACGTTACTGGGAAAAATCCTAAAATACGTTTACAGTGCTGTGCTGTACGTACTGAAAAAAACCCACATACCTGTGGACCCGTGCTTCCCAGACCTGTGATGTTCAAGGGTCAACAGTATGACTTGCCTAAACGACACAAGAGGAAACCAAAAGGCCGACCAGCCCTATAGGTATTAAAGAAAATGAAATCTGTTATAAAAACCCATCCCGCAAAGAAAACTTCCAGCCCAGACGGTCTCACACATTAATTCCATAAAGAGCGAACAAAAGGAGAGTTGGAACTGGGTTATTAAAAAGTCAGCTTTAATATCAACAGGAAGAATGGCCAAGAGCCACCACTATGCACGTTAGAAACGCCAGACGATACAGGAGGAGGAAATCGGCCACGGCCATTCATTTCTTCTTCCCCCTCGGCGGCCTGGCGAACAGAGCGGGGTCCATCTGTTCCCTGGCCAGGCCGCGGACAGAAAAGAGCCTGGCGGCCCGCTCCCGCAGGGTGCCCCCACATTTCAGCCCCCGGGCCGTCAGTTCACTCTTGAGCCTGTCCAAGCCCAGCGCCTCCATTTCCGCCGCGGAGGTGAATGCCAGCAAGTCTAGAGTTGCCAGACCAGTATCCTGAGAGAAAAGAAAAGAAAGTATTTAAAACCAGCTCCTCCCCCTGAGGACTCTCCTTAACTGTCCACGGTGCTCTGCTGATCAAGGAATTCTCATTTAATTAGCCGTATCTCGCTACTGAATTTTAATAATCGTCTACATGTCATTCCACACAGATTCTCATTACGAACACTGACGACCATGAATTTATCTGTACATTTAGAAACAAGCATTCAGAACAGTCACAGAAGTTACAAGATGCCCAGATCCCTTTTTTAAGTGTATTCATTTCAAGAGAGACAGACTGAGCGGGAGGGGAAGGGGCGGAGAGAGAGGGAGAGAGAATCCCAAGCAGGCTCCACGCTGTCGGCCCAAATGGGAGCTTGAACTCTCAAACTGCAAGATAATGACCTGAGCTGAAACCAAGAGTCGGACGCTTCACCGACTGGGCCACCCAGGCACCCCCGCCCCCCCAGATTCTTAATATGACTTTTCCTCTTTTTTGGATTTTCCAGTAGGTCAAACAGCAAGACACATCCAGCCCAGCCCCACACTGTTACAACCAAGAGTGGCACCCTCGTAAAGTTTAACATTCATGAGATTCCAGGCCTGCACATCTTCTGATTCCATCACCCTGACGCTCTGTAACTTAATGATTAAGACTGTTTGAGTTCCCACGTTTATAACTCAACAAATCCAAACACGGTTCAACAGCCTTGTAATCGTTCGAGCCGTCCGGCAGCCTTTCCAGACTCTCAGACGCAAGGAAATACTTCTAGCCAGGGACGCTCTGCAAAGGACAAAAATGTTCACATATGGGAGTTTTTAAAAAATATATTCAATGGGGCGCCTGGGTGGCTCAGTCGGTGAAGCGTCCGACTTCGGCTCAGGTCATGATCTCGCAGTCCGTGGGTTCGAGCCCCGCGTCGGGCTGTGTGCTGACAGCTCGGAGCCTGGAGCCTGCTTCCGATTCTGTGTCTCCCTCTCTCTCGGCCCCTCCCCTGCTCACACTGTGTGTCTCTCTCTCAAAAATAAATCAACATTAAAAAAATTATAAAAAATATATATTCAAGAAGAGTAATTTTCCATCACAGTAAGTTATCTTTCAATCGTTAAAGAGTTCTAGGGACAGAATCTTAATCCTTCTTGTTGAACTTTATTTTTTAAAAAGAACCATTTTGGTAGCTTTCAGGAGTAAATCTTGGTTTCATTATTTCTGGCCAAATCCTAAATCACCACCTACGGCTGCACACGGTGGTGAGGAACACATCCGTACCTCCCCACCAAGAACAGTTTCCATGACTGAAGGCTCAAAGAAGTCAACCGGGTCTTACTCCTCATCCTATGCCTAAAATATCCCTTTACTCACGTTTCTATGACTTCAGACAGGAAAAAGCTTCTAATGTATAAGAATACTATAGGGGCGCCCGGGTGGCTCAGTCAGGTGAGCGGCCGACTTCGGCTCAGGTCATCGTCTCAAAGTTCATGAGTTCAAGCCCCGTGTTGGGCTCCGAGCTGTCGGAGCCTGGAGCCTGCTTGGGATTCTGTCTCCCTCTCTTTCTCTGCCCCTTCCCCGCTCACACTCCGTCTGTCTCAAAAGTAAACATAAAAAAAGAGTAACACAAAAGCTACAGGCTGACCCCTGCAGAAATGGCGTGAGAGCCAAATTAAAGCCCTTTGCATAAACAATTCCACTGTCCTCCCTAGAGAGTGCAATCGATGCCTTCCTGCTTTGTAATTGAGGGTAGGGAAGGTGCTGGTTAAACAAGTAACGACAGGCTTCGTGTTTGCCAAAGGACAGCAGGTGGTTCCGGGTGCATCTAGTCTAAAAAGCAAATCATTATTAGATCAAACGGTAAACGTTGAAGAGTCTTCCTGGAAGCTGGTCCACTGAAGGCCACGAGTCCTGAACAACCGGAGGGACACTGTGCTCAGCGAAAACCATCCTTTGATGGCGGGATGCAGAGCTTAAGATGCGAAGACAAATTAGAAGGCAGCTGCCCCTCTCCCTGCAGAGAGAGCGTCACATCCCGCTGACGCCAACTGTCCCAACAGTCTCGCATGCGAGGAAGAAACAAAGCAACCGGGGATTCGGTGCTAGAAAATGAGCACGTTTCAGCCCCTCTAAAATGCCATCTGCCGCATCTTGCCTCGTTATCGTCTGTGTTATCGACAAACAATAAACAGGGGCGCCTGGGGGGCTGCGTCCGTTGGGCGTCAGCAGTTGGCTCCGGTCGTGATTTCGCGGCTCGTGAGTTCGAGCCCCGCGTCGGGCTCGCTGCTGTCAGTGTGGAACCCGCTTCGGACCCTCTGTGTCCCCCTCCCAGCCCCTGCCCCACTCGCGCGTGGGCGCCTGCACTCTCTCAAAAATAAACAT